GGAGATATGGGCATTGCTGGTGAGTAATTTGTGTTTTATGTTGGCTCTGATTCGTTACATTTGCCCCAAATTAAGTAAATGTTGAAGATGCAGTTTTATTGTTTCCAAACTACCCAACTTCAATGTATCCAAACATATACTTAGATTATTTCTCCATCTTATTTATTCCTGCATGGATGTATCTATGTTGATACACATTCACTGCTAGTGCTAATCGTAGGACTTGGTAACACATCGTACATATCTTGACCACTCGAAGTAAGGAGTTGCTCTATCTCATGAACTTTTGAGAAATACATCATATGTGACCCGCCAAGCAGAAAGGTACCACAAGTCGGAAAACAAAAACTGAGTTAGAGGCAAAAATGTGAAAAAAGTCAAAATACACAAAAATTATTTTATGACGAATTCTGATGGCTAAACATCTAAGCTTTACCGTTGTGAAGGTAGAACCCCAAAATCGACCCCTACGTGTGGTAAAACTGTGTTTAAAGTTGAGGGTGCCTCAAATTAGCAGCTACAATCAAACTTGTTTTGCAGGGCCAAAAGTTTGCAAAAATGAGTTGTCATTCCAAGTTATATTCGATTTCATGTTTTTCATCATTTTTCAACATATTTTTCGTAAAATAAGTCCATTTTGGAAATTTAATATGGGTAAAAGAGCTTGAATGCATTTTCAGTTGATTTTCTTTAAACTTGATTTTCTGAAAATATGGGTTTTCAATACTTCAACTTCAAACACGCATATCTCAGTGAATTTTATAGATAGGAATTTCGTTCTGGTTTCATTTTGAAGGAAATATCGTCTACTTTTCATTTTTGCCGTAAAATAGAAAAATTTTTTCCGACTTGTGGTACCTTTCTGCTTGGTGGGTCACATATACATTCATAAGTATATCAATTTTTATTATTACTACGAGCTGGCCCGATGTGGCTCCGCCCCATAAGGTCCCTTTTAGTGAGCGGTGCCCGGGTCAAGTGACCAACAAGGCAACAACCAATGAGAAAAAAGGCTTCAACAGATTTTATTATAGTAAATGTCTTACAAATTCTTATTGAAATTAGAATGTAGCTTTTAAAAAAATTGAACCATCTCTATTTTGACACGCTGTATGAAAAAGTTTCAAAGAAGTCTTTATTCTACCCATAATCTATTCTAATTCTCATTTTTAATTTCGCTGATGTTTTACATGTAATGTGGAATGAAGAAATTGACCTTCATTTTCAAATTTTTGATAAATTTTCGTTTTTCAGCAAGTTTTTAGATGAATCCAATTTTAACGCTCAGGAAGTTGATGTTTTGTTCCATGTAGTGATAGGAGTAAAACCAAACCCAAAATTAAAATCGAAACATCAGAAGACCAAAACCTTTTGAAAATAGGAATCAAAACAAAGAACTATTTTTGTTTCAATCAAGAACACTTTTACAGACACAGACTAGAGTACCATGACCCCAAAAGTAGAGTTAATTGAGAGCTATGTTAAGTTAATGTGAAGCGTAGCTTCAAATATTTTTGTTTTCAGTCATCCACTTTGTTAATTTTGTGAATTTTATACAGTGCTGAAGACAAAAACCGAAACCATAAACTGCTAAAAACTGTCAAAAAAATTCCTATAGCTGAAACCAAAACCAAAATGTCCTGAAAACAAACCAAAACTCCTACTTGTTTTGCTCCCCATTTCTGGTTCCTCTGGTAGAAGTTTTGTAGCAACTTGAAGATTACTTTTTTGAAGCCTTGAGTCCTGCTTCATTGAAAAAACAAGAAAAGATGTGGAGAGTCGAATGCACTACTCAGACCTACCATTTATTCACTTAGATAATGAAAGACGTTGTTATATGCATTTGCAAAAAATAATCTTCTATCAAATAACTGCGGTACATGAGGCAGAGTACAATCAACTCTGGTTCCTATCTGGTAGTGGAATCATACTTAGCAATTCGAGGTTTTCTTTTCACGCCTATCCAAGTGTTTAACTTGATGTCCTAGATATTATGATCGGTTGAAGGTCCTAAATACGAAACTTCTAAACATACACTCAACTGCTGAATGTTCACAAAATGGTACCACACGCCCTCTTATTTTGCCTTTCAAGTTGAATTCGTCTGATAATGAAAAGTAAGGCTACTTTCTTGTGGAGGGGTATTTCCAACTATTTTTCGACTGCCTCGTTTCATAAGAAATTGAAAAACCCACAATCACGCTTTGTCTTAAAAAACTGACCCACCCTTCTCTATTGGCACGCACTTACTCGTTGTCTTTTCTTATTAGGAATTTGTGGAGCCATTGCTGTGATCATCTTCGGAGCTTACGGAGATGCCCGTTTCTGGATGCCAAACTGGGAGCACAATAACATGGGATGGTCGTACTGGTTTGCAGTCATCGGTTCTGTCTCATCGTTTATTGGTGGAATTTGTTTTCTCGTCGAGGCACGAAAACATTCAATAAAGCATAAGAAATTCCGACAAGCATCGTCCGACTACAACATGGACGAACGTCGAACTTACAGTTAGAGGTGATCTGAATAAGTCGTTCATTTCGACTATTCTCGACTTGGATCGGTTTTTGTACTCGTATTCTATGTATTATACACCTCGTCCAAGATTCCGTCCATATTTGTGTTCTCACCTCTCAATTTTTATTTTTTTATACCTACTTGAAAAGCTACGTAGAATCTCATCGAATTCTCCACGATTTTAAAGTTTTGTGATCAAGTTACGTTTTTCGTGGAATTTTATTGTGAATTTTTTATAATACGATCATTTTTATTTTATTACAGATAATTCGTTCAAAACCAGAGTTGGAAAGCCTTATGACGATTTGATAAAACTTCAGCCTTTGGCTTACAGCTTCTGACTTTGAAAATGATACTTGAGCTTTCAACTTTTGATTTTTTAATGAAATTTTTGGCTTTTGATTTTCACTTTTTCAACTAAAATTGAATGGCTTTTTGCTTTTGACTGAAAGCTTTTCTCAATGCAGGAGTGGGGAAAAGAACTGATTTGCGATTAACGTGACTCTAAAATGAATCGATTCGCAAATTAAATTGAATTTACAAATCGATTCAATATTGCAATTCATTGGTGCTAATTTTATGAATTTTTGTTAGAAAAAATGAAGAAATTAATTCACAATTCGTTATTCAAAGCCAAATGAAACAAATTAATTCTAATTCGCAATTAAAGGAAAAACGAATCAAATTCGTGTATCACTTCAGTTTGTGAATCGTGATTTACAAATTGCCCGACTTGCTCAATGATACAAAGTTCAGTTTTTAAAAATTGTGAATAACATCAAGTTATCAGCATTCATCCTACTTATCTCAAATTGTGTGGTCATTTTTTCGATATATTTCATTCCAACTCATAGGAAAAATATGAAAAGCCCAAAAAATTAGGCTTTTTTCAGCTTTTGGCTATTTCTCTAAAGCATTTGAATTTTAACTTTCTCATTTTTTCTTCAAAATTGCTGACTTTTGGCTCTCACCTTTCGGCTGACTTTCCAACTCGGTTCAAAACTCTTGTCATCGAACTGTAATTTTTTGTATTCAAAATTTTGCGACTTTGTCATTATGTTGCAATATTCTGTAATATCGATCAAATTGACAATACCAAATTATGATATAGACCAAGTCTTTAATGTAGAATCCAATTATGTTTTTAGAATTTTAGTTCTTTATGTATTTTTTTAGTTCGTATCACCCAACACACCATTATTCTGTTTTGTCCAATATTCAACTACGTTAATTTTAATTATTTTACTACCGAAGCCCTTCAGATAATTTTCTCAAAAATTTTATCTCAAGGGCTAAAATCCCATCGGTATGTTGACTTTTCGAACTTTCCGTCCACGAAGACTTTTCTCTATTAAGGTTTTTTTAGAATACATTTTGTAAATTATATTTTTATTTGAAGTACACCTAATTAAATTTTTTATTCTCTCGTAGATATGTTTGTCGCCCGTTTAAAAATCAATACGTATTATATGTTTTTCTCACGTAATATTAAGCATAACAAAAGTTTTTTATATCCATCACAGTTTCCTAATTACGTAACACATACGATTTAAATCTTCTCTTCGCCTCAAAAAAAAGTATAATGAAAAACTTGGGAGACGGTAAGAACATATTTGAAAAAAAAATCGCATGTGCAGCCTTGACATAAAACGTGTTGCGGGAGGAGTTAAACTCTGTAGTAGTCAGATTTGTTGATACACTTCATTGTTTAAGACGTAACAGTTCCCATGCTCGACCTTCTTTCGATTTCATTCGGACTTCAAATTTTGACGCAATCTGAATGAATGTCTTTGTTGACGAGAGATCACATATTTACTTCTGGAAATTCGAAAACGAATACTTTTTACAGTAATTGAATGTTCGTGTAAAGTTTCAGTTTTTCGAGCTGCA